GTCTATTTCCCTGCATCGGGGAAATCAATTCCACCTCGAACTGTTCACCTCGTCCGTACGATAAAGCACAAGGATTACACAACTGATGTTGAACAAGAGCATCGATAAAGACATGAACTACAATGAACAATCAGAATACGATGAAACGACAGCAATTCCCTCTTCCCTACCTATCTAATTGAGATTTAAAAACACTCGATATCGGAAACCTCTATAGATGGAGGTGAGCTCGATCTTCCTAGGCTTTCCATACGAATGATCGGATATTTTAGAACAAACAAGGCAACGTAGGGATGCGAGACACCCTCTGGAATGGGTTACATGCCGTGGTGCTCGAGAGGGTCTGCATTTCTGGAGTTTTCCTAAAAGGTTGTATATGACTGAGTGGTGACAGACCAGTAGGTGCCGGCGCGCGTGTTGACTGAATCGAACGTCAACCATGCTTGTCGGACTGAGGGAAAGACCAATGTAACGTACCGTGGAAGCTTGTGTAGTCATAGATAGCTTGGGACAGGTTTGGTACATGTCTGCGGATGAGTCTGACTGTGCGGTCCATCATACGGTCCATCATCAAAATTTATAAATTGGCGCATATCTTGTCGGGTATCAAATAAGATGTTACCGGCAAACATACGCTTAAATTCGAAGTTTGGCGTGCGTCTTACTGGATTATGACGAAATCTGCCTCAAGAACCCTTGAATTCCGACTCATGAACGGAATGGACAAAGCTTGCTGTAACTTCAATTCCGTTTGACTAGACCCTCCTTCGACTCTTCCCGCCCGGGTGCCTACTGTGATGAGTGATGTATGTCTTCAGCCTGGCCTCTTCTGTTCGTAGCGAGCTCCCTCGTATTTTTCAATGGTATTGAGATCATATAGCGTCCATGGTCGTGATGTATGAAGTACACGATCTTGCCTTGAACGGACAAAACAGTATGCTTTAGCAAGAATGCAGTGAGCATTGGGACTCGCGGTGCGAGCTAAGACTCACTAATAAATGCCTTGGATCCAGTTTCAAAAACGTTGATGGAATTGTGGGACATAGCGTTGAATGCTGGGTGCATGGTATGGGCGACATTATTTCTGTTCTCTGCCGGTGTAAAAATCCTCGGAGTTGCCTATGCCATCTTCGAGGATATACAACAATATGGTCCATAAACCGGGGAAAGCGAGTGCTGTTCCGTAGAATGTAAAAGCCTTATTGGAGCAGTAGTAGACAAACAACTTTGCCGCAGCGTTTGGACATGAAGGAGTTGTGGGTGATAGAAAGAAGCACCATAACGGTTTAAGAATGCCTGGATGCGTCAGATGTCGATCCCATACGAACTTTCAAGTGTGACGAAGTGTGACGTCTTTCTTTGATAACTAACTTAGCGCCAAAAAAACGCTTCAGGCTCATGTTCTCATAGCACACTCATGGTTTTTAATGCGGCCACAACGCACGACTAAATTGCATCTTCTCCAGCCCTAAATGAAGGCATTGATGCCTTTCTGTGGTCGGCTCTCCTTGCGCTGTATCAAACTAATCGTAGTGATGCCAAGTCAACTGTGAGTCTCCCAAGTATGATGTCTTAGTATTGCTGACACCTTCTCTTAGTTTGGTAGTTATGTATTGCTTTCCGCACAGCATAAATTCTCGCTGTCATCTGTGGCTATATATCGTCAGAGTAATGGCTACTTCCGAAATATGAAAGACAGCAGAACTAGCGAAGATTTTATCAGCCACAATTGCAGTATGCTCACCCCAAGAGGAACTTGAGGCTTTTCAGGCCAGCATAGGAAATTTATGTCTACGCCAACTATTTGATGTTGAGGGTCGAAGTGCAGGTCAGTTGAGCGGAAAAGTCTACCTTGCTGCCTCTTGCATGTCTCAAGGACCTGTGTGTGCAGGCTATCTCAAAAACGATTGCTTGAGCGCTTGGTGTCCTCGCTGATTTGGCTAATCCTCGCTGGCAACGATGGAGAGTCTGTCGCGACTTCAACAGCTAATGCTGTTCATCTCGTTCATCCACGTCGTGATGATATTCTTCGTGATGTTGTGGGCGAAACTTTTACCCCTTCAATATTTTCCGGCCTCAATGCGGTCAGCTCTGCTTGTTCGCATCTACGACTGGAGTTCTCCACGCGCTGTACACTTCACCTGAAGCATTCCTCTCGACGGTGACTTTAAGCCACACCCCTCAAAAACTCCCGGATGTCATCGTATCGCAGATTGTTCTGGACCCGCCAGCTCGCGCTATTATCGCGCACATTACTTTCCTCATCGGCCATTTCCAACACTACCCGTGGTTATCGCAAGCCGTACAAGAACGCGTGCTATCTCCGTATCTTGTTTGCTAGTTCAGGGCTGCGCCGGGACTGTGGAAGGTATCGTAGGAGGCCGGGGGTATGACGACTGAATTGCCAGGCGAACCGTGACGTGGCAGCCTGGTGCGTTCGTTTTCCTATGATGTTATCATTTACTGATTCTTCGTATTTGTTTATTTATTTATTATCTATACAGGTGCCGAGAGATCTACCGCAGCGGTCACTCGTCTGGTGCCCGAAACTCCGAGTCGCATATTCCATCATGTCGACTGCTAGGTCGTACATATGTCTGCCCGTGAAGACCCGTCATTTTTGTCGGATAGCAGGTTGTGTCGGTAATCTTAGAGCGTCCCGAATCTCTAAGCCTGTAATTGCCTTCAGGCAAGTTGTCGAGCAACGCAACCTAGGTAAACGATAAACTAGTTTAAATGCTGACCGTGTTCCTTACATAATCATGATCGATGATGTCATTTCTACTATAAAGCCTCGACTTTCAGTTCCACTCCACCATATCATTATGTCCTCTTCCACCAAAGACAATGCACCCCGTCCTCCTTCAAAGGACGTTGAACCAACCAAAATTGACACCGCACCACAACAAGGTAGGTACTTTATTCATTCGATTAATCTCGCTTAAAAGTAACAAGTAAACGCAGCTTCCACTTCACCTGGTGATGGCACTCATATTCCCGCAGACCAGATTCGCAAGCCCTCTGAGGTCGATCGCAATGACCCAAATATAAATGTGGTAGAGATCCCTGCAGAGATAAAACGGTCCCCCACCTTCAAAGAACAAGTATTTGGTGAGTGTCTCATACACTTCGAACATGCAAAGTTAACATACGGGTAGGTTATGCCAAGGTATTATCCGCGTCGATTGTAACTCATACTCATTACTCATTAATTACATTGTCAACTTACACTCAGGTCATCCGCGGAACAGTCAGTCACTTGTTCATCTTGTACTCTTCTCATAGTTTATTCGTATACAGGCACTTGGTAAATCAGACGTCAAGGAGCACGGGGAACAAGTCTTGCGGGGTGAAGAGACCATTCCGGTGAAAGGCCGTCGAGGTTCGATTGCAGAGTAATACCTTCGTCGTGTCAGTGGGTTTCCCTGTACTCTATTACTCGAACTGCATCATCCGTCACCATATGTGGTATTGTATATTAGGGCATTTGAGGTAACATATTTACCCATGCCACAAGTATAATCAGCCGTATACGAGATCTCCCGAATGTTCAAGCATATGGACTTGCCTTGAAATGGGTGATTCGAACGAGATTGGCGACATGTGAATCGACGGCATTCTCAAATTTCAATTGATAAGCAACGCCGCCTTGTGGCGCTGTCGCCGTGAAAAGGCTAATTCCAATTTCTACTAACCCCTTTCAATTGAAATACAGAGACAGTCACTACTTACTGTGTTCAGCATTTGGGCAGAAACCCACGGAAGCAACGCTTAAAGGCGCGAAGCTTTATTAGCGCGCTCTCGCTTGAAAACCCCACTTGGACAACCACCATTACGACGTTCTCCATGCCATCTACTTCACCTGTCTTCGATGAAAAACTTATCGAAGAGTCTTCCCCACCTTCAAAAATGTACACAACCAACCCAGTCATATCTAGCGCCGAGTTTGTCCTTGAGGTAAATTTTCATCTAGACGTAGTCTGAGTGAAACACATTTTAATCAATGATACATCAGCAAACAAATATCGTCAAAATCAACGACGACGCGGTCAAGAAAGCCACACAATATGTCAATCCAAACTTTTATATGATTCTGGAGCGTCGCGTATCTGACAGATCCACGCAGATTCTGCAAAAAGTCGCTTCAGAGCCCTATACTCCGCGTACATGGCGCACGCACCCCTTGCACATCTGTCCGCCAGAACCGTATGACCAAGACGATATACTCACGGGTGCATGTCTGAACTGGATATTCCTCATCTCTTCTTTGAATTTCAGTTTTTGGTCAGAAAAGGAAGGCCAGCTGGATCGGTATGGCGTTGAATGGCGGGCTAGTTGGAATAGCCAGACAACGACGGTGCACACTGGATACTGGAGCTTAGTCGCTGCTTTGAATCGAGGTGGGCAAATCTTTCGTTTTGTTATTTAGAGAGTCTGAATCTGGCTGAATCGGACCTACTAGCGTTAGAGGAGGGTATACCTATCATCGATCCCCAGTTTTATTCCTCCGAGGCACTATGCCCAGACTCGCTGATCGCGCACGTATTCCGCCCCGCCCCGCAATCTTCTGAATCGATCCCTCTGCTTAATGAGCGCCTGGCGATCATGCGCGAAGTCGGTGCTATATTGTGTAACGTAAGTTTTTCCCTGTGTGCATCTATGCATGGTTTATGGACGCACATTAATGTATAGGATGAATTTGGAGGTTCATACCTAGGGTTTTTACAAGCCTTCCAAAGAAGATACGAGAATCAGGGCACGGCGCTCGACCTCGTCCAATTCGTCACAGACTCGTTCCCGAGTTTTAGAGATGACCGAATGTTCAATGGACGACGAGGCAAGTCAATATTGATCATGACACCCAAATGGCGTCTTTCAATTTCACGAGACTAACGAGTCTATGCTTACCAGTATATTTCTGGAAACGGTCTCAAATTCTAGTAGCAGAGACCTGGGCAGCCTTCTACCCTGAAAGCCCCTACACCCCACACCCGATCTTCCCCGGCCTCAACGGAGCATGCATCAGCTCCCTAACGATGTTCGCAGATTACCGCGTCCCCCAGATCCTGCACCACCTGCGCATCCTCGCTTATCCCCAATCGCTCAAACACGAGCTGTGCGCTGGCACACAACTTGAATCTGGATCGAGAGAAGAAATGAGCTTGCGCGCAGCGAGCATCGTTGCTGTTGAACGTATCCGGAGTGAGATGGTGAGGTGTGGATCGGATTGGGAAGCGAGCTGCGTTTTGATCGATTTTTACCTTTGGGATTTGGCTAAGAAGCTGCAGGGGGGGAAAGAGTGTCTTGAGGGGATTGAGACGGAAGATATCTTGCCTGTGCACAGGACGAGAAGTATTTGGTATTAGGTTCTTTGGTTATTGATAGATGTAGACTTCGTATTCCCTCGATAGTTTTTATAACCTCTTTATTAGCGATAGGATTCTAAATTTCTCGCATTTCAAATATAGACATGACAGGTTCCAGTGAAAGTCCAGGCCAGCTCGCTCACGATCACAGCTTTCGGTCCTCTTGATGCGGCATGCCACTCAAGGTTTCGACCTATGCCACACTTGCAAGTGAACTCAATTGTGCAAATGTGAGGAAACCAACACCGGGTCACGACGTACATGTGGATCATCAAGAACGCGTACGTACGTGTGTACAGAGTGTATGACGCAAGAATGACAAGACACTTGGCTTGCGATAGCGTCGATAGTCTATATGTAAACGACAAATCATAGTCATTCATGATATCATGAGCCGTAACTGGATTCTGAAGGAGCCCCAAATTCATCTGAGGAAGGTATCGATGGAGGACCAGCCTCAAGTTGTTCGCTGAATCCGATACCAGATCCATCTCTTGGGTAGGGATCCGTTGCAAGTTGGACAGGAACTGTGAGTCGCAGTTCCTTGAAAGGCGATTTGGAGAGATCAGGCGGGGTCATGGTCAGGACTATACAATCCTTTATGAATGTGTCTTAGCTGAAGCCCTCAACAGAGATGTAGAGCAAGTGCTTACCTTGATGGAAAAACCACCCGCCCTGAAGCCTCCGACCTTGATGTCAGGACTGATATAAATATCTCCTGAGAATGCAGTCCAGTGAGCACCACCGTCACCCTATAGAATCACGTCAATTATCTAGCATCCTTTTCCATGCGCACTGCGTGACATACTGCGTGTCTGAAGGCACCTTCGCCGATACAATCAACTCTCCAAATGTCGGTGCGAGTACCAAGTATCAAAGCATTACTGTCGAGTGAATGTATCAAAATGTATCAAGCAGACTCGGAGTCACAAAGGAAGTACAAACCGAACGTCAACAGTCGTCTGCCTCAACAACTGTATTTTTGTGTGCTGCGTTTTCAGAGACGCGATTACCACCGGTCCAAAAGGCATAAACGCAGCAAGAGACGTTGCCGAAGATGAAAACATGATGTGGAAAGGAATGGACTCTTGTGTGCAGAATGTTCGACTAGCTGGGAGATATAACTGACGCCCGGGAACCATCAGGGTTGATATATGCATTCATTCACAGCATCGACCAACCTTTACCATAATGTCGTGTGCTCCCTGATTCGCGTGAATCAGTGTCGGAAAGACCTTCCATTGCGAGTTCTCGACTATTCCCCATTGACCAGGTACTAGAGGTGGCGGTAATGGGGAAGATGGACGAGTGCGAGGAAGGTACTCAAACGGAGTGGAGACTGACCTGTAAACTGTGAAACGGGGTTCAGACGATTCGACATAGATAGAAACACACCAATCTCCACCCCCCAATAAGGTCGACTTAACTGCATGCGGTATGATGTTTGGTTTCACGGCAATAGCGCTAATGCTATAATTAATCCTCGCCCGAAATCCAGGGAGGCCAGATAGGTGGGCCTCGTGGCTTGGTGGGAGGGGCTATGCTCGTGATGGTCAAGATGCTGTTCAAACATCGCGCCGCTTACATACATAAGTTTTTCCGCCGTCCGAAAAGGTGGTTGGAAGAAGGAAACTGAATGGGAGTGAACGCGGGCATGGCGCTTCGTAAATTCTGTCCTTGACCCACAGAATTGTCTTGTTGAAAAACAATTTGCAGTTTGTCGTCCCGCTTTCAGCCAATTCCTCCATCATGAGGGTACCTTCAATCTAGGGGAATTTGTATCAGACTAAACCCCTATTCATCTGGCTAGTCCGCTCACTTGAACTTCAACGCTGGTGATACCATCTCGTTTGTGAATGTCGAGGGTACCCTCCACGCTGGCGCCATAACCATAGACAGGAAGCGTGACTTGGTCATCTTGGCCGACAAGACGAAGACTCACGCCACCATTTCTAGATTGCTTTACAAATTCACGCGGCGACCGGTTCGGGTTTAGACGCGCATTGTAAGCTAAACGGTATTCGTGAGCCTGAGGAGTAGCGGTATACGTTGGTGAATGGTACCCGGGGAGAGTCACATTGGTTGCAGTGGACATGGTAGTGAACTAGCAAAGTTCAGAAGGGTCCATTTCCTTCTCAATGATCCAGTGTTATGTGGAATGTCGAGCACCATGCGGGTCCCCAGCTATACTTAAACTCCAGCTTCCCACTCCCTTCGGCGTCCACACTAAATGAGTATTAGTTTCGGCCCAAGGTAAACTAAAGTTCCGAGTAGGGCGCTTCCTCGACTTCGAAACTATGTTTCAAATCTTGGCCCAGACACAGTTAGCCTCGGTATTGTGATCAGTATGCTACGCTGGGGATGTGGACAAGAAGATCATATGACACTCTCACACGTCGGGCATGCTGTATCGAACGTGTATTAAATGGATGAGTAACCCTAGCTCGGAATGCGGAAGTAATTCGCCTGTGAGCTCTTCCGTCCGTCTGCCCTCGAGAATTTTATTGTCAATTAATCTATATATTGCCTTGAGTGACCTTGCATGTTTTCATACTACTAATAGCAGATTCCAGAAGAGCCCTGGGTCTTTATAACGCTTTTAAAGACTGTTCGCAACTCATGCATGCTTTCGATTGACTCGACACTAGGTAGCGTACAGATATATCTTAGTATGGAGGATCGCTTGTACCAGTGTACGAGTCGTACACTTTGCTGTTCATATCCAAGATGTACTTAAAACCCACCCTTGCCACGAGCCCGCGCGATACTCCCCTGGATCCCTTTGACCATCCTCGAAATCCTGACCCAACACCAGTAGAGTCCGTAAGTGGGTTTCCGTTCATATCACGGTATATGCCATCTTTCGCCACCTCATGTAAATGCGTGTTCTGATTTCTCCGTATGCCATCAAACCATTCCCGACATACCGTGGGGCTGTCGACCATAACGTTCACCTCTTGACTATGATACCAAGACTGCGTGTCTGGAAAATTTTGATGAGCATCGATGAGTAGGCCATCGGTGAGAACAAGTCATACCTTGGTTACCGTTGCCTACGATTCCAACAGAATCGTCAATGATCATTAGTTTCACCTGAAATTCGATAAGGATTCTGCTAGTGTCGTCAATAATAATAAGACGAACATGACAGTTCCGTTTCTGCGCGGACGCATTAATGGGCTTGATTTGATCCTTGCCTGAAATAATTACAGGTGAGTACCCGAAAGACACCCTCACGGGAGAAGCACATGCCTGTATACCAATAGAGTTTGAGTTTCTCTTGCTCCTCGTCAATTAACTGTGCGAACATCGTTTTGGATACTTCCTCATTCGTGCCCCCCTGCCCAGGAAGTGCTTCCCCACCATCATTAAAACCCACGTCTATATACAATGTGCACTCGATGCCGCGCCTGACTGCATTCAAGATGCCTTCAACCACAGGGACTGCATTTAAAGTCGGACTTTGGATGAAAACCTTCCTTTGGGCGTATTTCAGCCCTGCAAGCCAGGCTGCATCCTGTGCATTGTGCAAATTACTGGCGATATTTCCAGGATTCCCGTTCGGCGCACGGTTTACCAATACCATGGGACATTCTCCATGACGTGCGTGGAGAATATGTGGGGTATAGTCATCTCTAGATGATGATGGCGGCTCGTACTGTATAGTAGCATGCGTATCTGGTTGATCTCCGGCATCTGCACAGCATCAGGCCAGCGAACTTGGATGGGAAACAAGATAATGCCTTACTGAGGTGCTCTGTAATTGTCTTATAAGTCCCGGAAATGAATGGAACTTGTGCATCTAGAGACCCAGAAGAGGCAGGATCTTCCTTTCCTTCTCTATCAAAGTCTCCGTCGTGTGTGCCGCCGGCCTCCTGCTGCAGTGTCCTGAAAAGTTCCGCCCCATCTCTGCCATCCAGAATGGAGGTCGTGGCGTATTCATTATCCATTCCGAACTTATAGCCTCCCTCAGGCGGCCGGTACCGCGTATTGAGCAACGGAAGGGGTGGGCGCATGGGCCTGAACCAACTGATCAGAGCAGTATCATACAAACTGTCAACAATCGGGCCCTCCAAGTGGATCATCATCTCCACGTTAGGACGGTCTTGAATATTATTCGAGTTCAGGAGCGCCATTTTGCGATCTACGATCATGAACTTGCAATGGAATGTACCAAAAACAGGTCTTTGCATCATATAAGTAATTTGCTTATAAGAGACAACCGAAAACACTCACTGATGAAAATTCACTAATTCGAAGTCGATTCCCGGCATGTCGCTCCTCTTGGGGAGCTTTACTTCATCACTGGTCATTTCTGCGTCGTCGACAAGAAGGTGGCTTTCCGTGAGCATCTTGAGATTTGCACGGTCGTACATCATCTTCACCACAACCTTCTTACCCCTTTTCATCGCTCTGCGCGAGAGTTCGAGAAAGGCATCGCATATTTTGCTAGCGGACTTGGATGCTTGCCAAAAGTTCGTTGCTAAAAATACTTCTGACTCAGCACGGACGATACAGTCATAGTGATGCTGAATAATATCCGGAATGCTGCTCGACGCATTAGCAGAAAGACAAACAAGAAAATAAGAAACCGTGTAATTACACAGAAATGATGCTCAGGTTCACGACGCCTCTAGAACCCAACAAGGGGGGCGAAACCACACCAGCCCAAGGATTTGTATCGAGCGCAGCAAGCACGTCACAGTAGATCTTTTTATGCAATGAGTCAATATTACACGTCTGTCACGCTTGAATCACCTTTAAGAATAGATCACTTGGCCTACTGCCAAAATTCCCGCACTCGGCTGCGCGGTCGAGATCCGCTTGTGTAGGTTCAAGTGGAATCTGCCGTGTCTCATTCGCAGACCCGCGGTGCAGCACACCCATGAATAGCTCCAAATAACCTGTGGAGGATACGGGCTTCTTGTGGTGCTCTGCATAGAGTGTTTTCACGAGTTGTCCAGGTGATGATGCCGGGGAAGCTGCGAGCGCTGCAGTAAGCGTCTTCTGAGAGTGAGTTAGTGAGTAGACTTTGTCTGAGACAGTCATTGTGGTGTTTGGAAGAGCGTAAAACTGAGCGCAGCATCATGATAAAGGAGTTGCCAGCTCCAAAAGCCTACAAGCAGTACTAGCACTACGCCGCGAACAAGCTATGTCATTTGCGCTGATGCAATGTCACGGTAAGACCACGTGCTGAGTGGAGCTTTCGAAATTGGACACCGCCGGTTGGTCAACACATCTACTAGTAGCGGTGCTGCCTGATGTTTATAGTTCGTATGAAGTCTCAGGTCCGACAACCTGAGTCTTGTAAATCCAAAGATGATGAGTGAACTTGAACCCAGGCCAGGTTTGAAACATTGGGGGAACACGAGACAGAATTCAGTACATTTGTCCAGTAACGGGAACCATTTGATACACTCCGCAGAATTAAACTGTTCCATGGATAGAATTATCAACATAAAGTGCCACTGAAAGTTGCATAGCCTGTATGATCTTGGCACGGGGTACCAAACATATAAAAGTTATAAGTTAGTATTATAACAAGAAGTTGTAGATATAATAAAAAGCGATAAGAATACAGTAGATGATATGGCTGTGAATATATATACAGTGCAATAGTCAGAACACAATGCGATGGAGAAAAATAGGTTCATGAACGATCGACCCATGGTTCTGTAGCGAGTCGTATGGGGATAACGCGTTGAAGTGAATGGTCAGATCTCAGTTGACCAGGCGGAGTTAGTAAAGACAGCACAATGTAGTCCTGGAATCACTTCATGAGTCCAATTTCAAACTGTTTAAAAAGACACTAGCTCACCGTAGTGCTAATCTGGCCGGTATTGAAACCAGTGTTCAAGACGGGAACTTCACACCGAAGTTCGCCATTCCAACTCCATGTTACAGGCTCTTCTGATTCTGAGATTGCGACCTTGGAGGTGGATGATGATTGCGGCACCATCCGTCCGCGACCAAGAATTTGGTCGTGACTGAACGACGTGCCTTGAATGTTGACGGTAGTCTGCCGTACTATAGATATGTTTAAAATTTCTTTTATTTCCGAGGGATTTTGGCGAGGAAGGAAGATCTTGGCAAGATTGTGCAGGAAGAGTGGCGAAGTCTCTAGCCGCAAATGGAAAGGTATCTTTTCCGAAGCAGTGAAAACGCGGACCGAAGGAATAAATAACTTGAAATGAATTAACATCAGTTTATGAATGGTTTGATCGCGAGGACAACCACCTACATGACAACGTGCTAAAAACGCTTCGTTTCCTGTACCAACAGTCGGTTTCGTGATCCAAACGTCCTCCATCCAATCCTCAGGAGATTGTTTCACCTCGCTAAAGGAGTCTGGCACTGGCCTTGATGGTCGTACTCGGGGGCGGTACTTGATGTGAATGCTCATGTATATCTCCCTGATGATGATGGTTTTAGTTGCGAGATGGATCTGAATCTGCTGTGCACTTGCCTCGAAAGTTTTTTTCCAATCATCGGAACGTTTCTCGATTTTGTGACAATGATCTGCAGTGTATAGACTATAGCCACGCGTTGCGGTTGCGATAGCTCAAAGGACGGCGGCAAACGGAAAGTACGATCTTGTCCACGCTCTCGATAGGAGGTCGGGAAAGACATTGATAATGGCATGATGCTGGGACAAGTTTGTCCATTTAGAGTGGAGCTCTCCCATAAGGTCCGCTCCTTTGAAATAATAGTAACCCCCTTAGAAGGTTGTCCTGGAAGGTAAACACGACCTTCAAGCTAATGGGTGGTATTAGAAAACGTAGTGAAACACCGAATACAATAGATCCTATATACCTTCGCTGTAACAGCTACAACTCTCCGGCGATGATCAAGTGAAACTTCTCCTCGAATGGTACTCCCCAGACCATAGGATGGATGGCGGTCCTCTTCACGACAGTCCATCAGTTTGAGGGTCATCTCTTTTTCCCGATAAGTAAACGACGCATTGTCCCCCCGTTGGATCAAGCGAGGTGATCTTTGTATGCACTTCTCGCCGGGAAGTGGTTTGGAAGAGTAGTCAGGTGCAGGCTTTGATGGTGTGTACTCTGGCAACAGATGCTGAACGGAAAGTGATTCCATGCTTGCGGAAGAGATGTGGGACGCTTGGAGACTGAACGGATGGACGCCCATGATTGACAACAGCTTTATAGTACCCATGTCACAATTAAACCGGTGGTGTTGGCAGTTCCATCATTTTCGGATGCAACGTGGATCCGGAAATGGCCTGAACGCCATTTAGCGGTTATGAGAAAGAACGATGAGTCCGACAGGATCAGGATAGATGCGGTGGCCGGTGAGAGCGCCGTAACAACACCATCCTGTGTTTCTTGCTATGCTTGGTCAACGTAAGTAAAGGAACGCGTGAACAACGCATACTACAATGGATCAAATGATGGTGATTAGTAAACCTTGGCGGACCTATTGACGTATCTTAGGCACAGCCGGCGGGCGCTTACGCACGGGGACGTGACGGGTCTGACATCCGACTCGGCTCAGAAAAGACCCTTTCCCCACACTGAAGGAAAAGCTCACCCTCGGAGGCCTCTGAATCGGCTGCCATCCATGAAGCTGCTCCCAAACGCAGATGGATCAGTAGTCGACGGGGCGTGTATCTTTAGTAAATTCCGGGTCAGGCTCCCGACCTTCAGGCCCAGGGGCATTGCCTTGAAGCCCTGCATTGATGCGGCGAGTTGCCTGGATTCGTCGTGCAGTGGTTCAGTGATCTGGGTCGGACGGCATAGCAGTACGTAATAAAATTCTATTTTTGGAAGTATTGGCCGAAGCCCGAGGTACGTAGG